GAATAGAATTCTTTATTGGCCAAGTGAGATTGGACACACAAGGAATTGGTCTTGGTGCAAATGCTCTCAGTGTCCATAAAAGAAAAGATACGTTTTTCAAGAGTCAAGATTCATCAGGTACAAGACTTAATGATAGTCATAGGGTACAATAAGAATAGAATAGAAATAGAATAGAATAGAATAAAATTCTTTATTGGCCAACTGTGATTGGACACACAAGGAATTGGTCTTGGTGCAAATGCTCTCAGTGTATATAAAAGAAAAGATACATTCGTCAAGAATCATCAAGTCCAACACTTAAGTTATAGGATACAATAAGCAATCAAATCATACTAGGAAACAATTAATATAAATCGTAAGGATACATACAAGTGACAAAAGTTACAGTCATAGACTCACAAGTGGGAGGGGATGGGTGAAAGGAAGAGTGGAAGGCACAACCAAGAACTAAAAAGGGGATAAATAATAGAAAGTACCAATTAATATGAATTTATGAATGTCTATTTGAATTATATAATTTGTTAAATACTGCAAATATGACTACTAATAGAGAATTTATAATAAAAGAAGTGATGTGAAGAAAATAGAGACTGACACAAAATAGCACATGAGAATATTGAATAATTAAGATCGATAATATGTATTGACATCAAACGATGTAAGAAAGTTAGCAAGATCAATGTGAAACTATTGCCATGTTTGTTTTTTAAACATAAAACCACCTGGAACCACCCTGTTCCTACAATGATGAGTATATAGAAACAGAAAAATAAAAAATGCATTTAAAAAAAAAACAATTCCTTAAACTCAGGAGAGATTCAACATTTCGGAGAATACCGGTACTCTTCAACTTACGACCACTATTAGAACTGGAGAATTGGTCATTGAGGGGTGTAATTGGGAAGCGAGGCATGGCATAATGGGCTCCCAATTTAACGTGGTTCCCCCCGCTTTTACTATGGTTGTTGGGGGATACTCCCTAGCGTAGCTGGCTGGAGAATCCTGGGAGTTGAAGCCCACAAGTCTTCAAGTGGCCAAGTTTAGGGACCCTTGGTGTAGGCTGTCCCGCTTGGGCGGCGGGGGGGGTTGGACTAGATGACCTACAAGGTCCCTTCCAACTCGGATTATCTGTTAATCTGATCAGCTGAAATCCACGCGCCCCCTGCCAAAACCTGGCTAAGTGGCTCCCTCCTCCATGGCCACTCAGGGATCCCCGTGGGGCCATTTCTGGAGCGGAAACATCCTGTCAGTTTCTCGCTCCGGGCCTTGGGGGGAAGAACTGTGTGTCTGTTCATTTTTTAATGGAAGGACAAACATCTCGGAAGACGTGACTCATGGAAAACAGCCGGCCCCTGTGTTCCCCTGGCACCCAACGGCTTCTTCGCTCTGGCAGGGGCTCCCAAGGCCTCCTCCAAGCATTTGGAGGAGGGTCCCACCGGGGCTTTAGAGACACGAGCCGCAGCGAGCCCGGGGCGGTTGGGCTACCTTGGCCAAACGCTTCATTTAGCAGCATCCAACAAACTGCAAAGAGTTCGGCCTCTCTGTAGAGATCTGTATCAATATCTATCCATAGATGACAATAAAGTAAACTAATCTAAACTAAACTTAAACTGAACTTAAACTAAACTAAACCTAATCTAATCTAAACCTAACCTAATCTAAACTAAACTTAAACTAAACCTAAACTAACCTAAACCTAACCTAATCCAAACTAAACTTAAACTAAACTTAAAATAAACTTAAAATAAACTTAAAATAAACTAAACCTAACGTAATCTAAACTAAACTTAAAATAAACTTAAACTAAGCTAAACCTAAACTAACCTAAACCTAACCTCATCTAAACTAAACTTAAACTAAACTAAACCTAAACTAACCTAAACCTAACCTCATCTAAACTAAACTAAACCTAAACTAACCTAAACCTAACCTCATCTAAACTAATCTAAAGCTAACCTAAACCTAACCTAAACCAAACCTAAACTAACCTAAACTTTAACCAAACTTAAACCTAAACCTAAACTAACCCTAACCCTAACCCTAACCCTAAACCAAACTAAACCAGCCATTTCTTTTTTCCTTTCTGACTGCTCCCAGCCCTCGCCCAGCCCTGCCTGCCTGCCTGCCTGCCTGGCAAGCGAGATCCACAGGCTCTACTGCAAACACGAAACTCGCACCAGGATGCACGAGGACAAGGTTAAAGCAGAACAGCCAAACAGATCCGGGAGAAGAGCAGGGTGACATCGAAAAACAGGGATCCTTATCTCCCGGCGATCCTGTTTGGTCCTCTCCTCCCACGCTGACCCGAAGGAGGGTTCGTGCCAGGACTTCCAAACCCTTTCCAAGAAAACCCAGCACTATTTGGTCCCGGAGGAAGAGGCTGCAGGCTGCCTTGGCCCAGCGGGGCAGCCTCCAAAACCAGCAAGGAGGGCTGGGGTTGTGTCTGTGTGTGTCTGGGGGGTGCGTTACGTAGTAGTCCTCGAGTTACGGCCACAGCTGAGCCCGGGATCTATGTTGCCAAGTTGTTAAGTGAGTTTCGCCCCATTTCGTGCTGCCGTTGTTAAGGGAACCCCCTCCAAGTTGCGAAGTTGGTTATCCCGGTGGGTTCGGCAAATCCGGCATCTCCCCCGTTCGCTTCGCTCATTGGAAAGTTGCAAAAAGGGAATCCCGTGACCTTGGGACACTCCAACTGTCGTAAATGTGAGTCGGGGGGGGCAAGCGCCTGAATTTGGATCATGTGATCGTGGTAGCGGTGGGAGGGAGGCCGCAAACGGTCGTTCAGGGTAGAAAAAAAGAGTCGTAAGTTGTTGTTTTTTCTCAGTGCTGGTGTCCCTTCCAACGGTCACTAAACGAACTGTTGTAAGTTGAGGACTTCCTGCGCTTAACCCAACCATCTGCCCTACCATGGCCACAAGGCCAACCTGGAAGCCAAGCCTGCTTCTTCCCCTCTGAGGGGAAAGTCCTCGACTTACAAACAGCTCCCTTTAGTGACTTGTTCAAAGTTACAACGGCATTACCAACAGTGACTTAGGGCCATTTTCTCACACTTACGACTGTGGCAGCCTCCCATCTGGCCAAAATTTGGACGCTTGTCCCCCCACCCCGACTCGTATTTACAACAGTTGCCGTGTCTCAAAATCACAAGATTCGCCCTTTTTGCAACTGTCGGACGAGCGAAGCGAATGAGGCGGGGACGATGATGGATTGGCTGAACCCACCGTGTTTCCTCACGGAGCAACTGCTTTGATTTACTTAACGACCGTGGCGAGAAAGTTCGATCAACTGGAGCAAAACTGACCTAAGGAATGTTTTGCTTAAACTGCAAGCAGGCAAAAATAACAGGTCATCAGAGTTGGAAGGGACCTTATAGGTCATCTAGTCCAACCCCCTCTGCCCGAGCGGGAGAGCCTACCCCATTTTTGACAAATGGCAGTCCAGTCTCTTCTTGGAGATCTCAAGTGATGGTGCTCCCACAACTTCTGAAGGCAAGCTGTTCCACTGAATATAGAATAACAGAGTTGGAAGGGACCTTGTAGGTCATCTAGACCAACCCCCCGCCCAAGCGGGAGACCTCACACCATTTCTGACTGATGGGAGTCCAGTCTCTTCTTGAAAGTCTCAAGTGATGGTGCTCCCACAACTTCCGAAGGCAACTTCTTTTCCATGGGTTTCTCCTTGTTTCCAGGTCGAATCTCTCCTTGATCAGTTTCCATCCATTATTCCTTGTCTGGCCTTCAAAGGTGCTTTAGAAAATAGCTTGACCCCCTTCCTCCTCTCTGTGGCAGCCCCTCAAATATTGGGAGACTGCTATCCTGTCTCCCCTGGTCCTTCTCTCCCCTAGACTAGCCAGGCCCAGTTCCTGCAACCGTCCTTCATATGTTTTAGCCTCCTGGTTGCTCTTCTCTGCATTTTTTTTTCCAGAGCCTCAACCTCTTTTTTTATAATGTGGTGACCAATGCGGTCATAAGTCGAAGTCTATTCTGTACTGAGAAGCGAGGGTGGGAATATTCAAAAGAAAAGGTGCCTTCAGGTTCTGAGCAATGATTAACCAGGGATTTATTTTCCATGAAACGAGGATACAAGGAAACATCATGCAATGCTCAGATTAATTGTTGAAAAGGACCCAGGAAAAGGCTGTTTCGTAACCCTTCTCTGAGCTTTTCAATTTATTTTTTTCCCTCCCAAAATGCAGCTACCTATCTGGTTTATAATCTTTTTTTTTTTCCCCCAGGGTGAAAAAAGCCGCTGCATTTTTCCCATCCTGACTCAAGTTCCCCAACAAAAGGAGAAGAGAGAGAGAGAAAAAAAAAAGAAAGAAAGAAAGAAAAAGGAATGACGTCACTCATCTAAGACAACAGGAAACGGTTTCAAAAATGAAAGGATTTTCCCAAGGCAGCCAGGGCCAAATTGGATCTTACCAACTTTCTAAATTCAATGGGGATGTTTCTATCTGGGTATCAGAGTTCAGTATGATCAAAGAGATAATTTTTTTTTTAAAAAAGGAGGAAAGGTTGCCATGGAGATTCTTTTTTTTAAAAAAAAATATTCCATTGTGCTACAACGATTGTAAGCGTGAAAAACGGCCACAAGTCACATTTTTGTTTCAATTATAACTGAACAAATAAACAGTTGTAGGTCAAGAACTACCTATACCTCCCTCAATTTTTTAAGAACTTTTTTTCCAGTATACAAGCAGTTCTACTTGCTGTTGAATGTATTGAGGAATCTGGCAAGGAAATAATTCTGAAATCGTGACCCAAAGGGCCAAAGTTGTGATAAGAGTTTATATCAATACTGTTTTATCTACAATCGATGACTTCTCAGGATGCTATTATCTCCAATTGCCCAATGCTGTAGCACGTCACATTGGGCGATAGCAGCCATTTACAATTCTCCATCCTGGAATATCTGAATTTTGCCCCATTCCTCACAAGGGGAAAAAAAAAGGCACCTGAATGAACATGCAAAATATGATAAATCATTATATTCTCCTTTTAACAACACTAGAATCCCTTGAGGGGTGGAATCTGAGCAACCGAATGGAGCTAAGTTGAGTGTTTAATGGCCGGATGCCCTTCCTGTCACCAATGCGGAGTTTTGTTCAGCAGATAATATTCCTCAGTGTGCCCAGAGCGAGAAATATCTGCTTCTACCAAAGGATCGAACTCACAGCCTCCTGATTGTGAGGCAAGAAATCTACCTCTAGGCCATCAGGCCACTCCATGCAAGGTATGATAAATATCTTATGCAAAATATTTAAGGGCTCTAAATAGACACCTTTGCAATTGAAAAGAATTCCAGTTTGATTTTAAGGAAGCCCTTGCAATTTAGTTGCTGGTTTCTAATCTGCCGTATTGCAGATCTGCACGTACACGACTGGATTCCCAAGGATAATCCAAATTAAATTTCCTCCAGACATTCCGGATGTCGGGAAACCTGACTCGGTGGCAAGGGATTATGGGGGTTGTAGGCCAGAACAGCAGGGAGTCAGCGAGCTGTCAATCCCTGATTTATTTTGTCCTAGAAAGCAGATGCTATTTGTGGATGAAGGATCCATTAGGTCAGTGTTTCTCAAACCTCAGCAACTTTTTAAGATGGATGGACTTCCATCCCAGAATTCACAGTCACGCTGGGCTTCCGGCATCATCAGATTGGGTGGCTGGGGAATTCTGGGAGTTGAAGTTCACCCAGAGTCTTAAATTTGCTGAGGGTTAAAGGGATACCAAGCCCAATATTCCTCCAATATCACGCTCCGGATTTAAAATCACAGAAGAACTCAAACTCATTCCCTTCCCCAGTCTACAATCATGTTATAATATATATATATATATTATAACACACACATGACACCCCTTTTCCCTTGGACCCACAGATGGAATTGCCACAGGGGGAAGAGGCCGCCAGGGATTTGGTTTCTCAAACACAATTCCCCTGTCCCGAAGGCATTTTAAACACTTCATTAGAGATCTCTCCATCCTACGGGGAGAACAGAGATTTGTGCCGACAGCCACGTGAGTAAACGGAGCCATGTTATGAATGAGGCTGATCTCATTCATAACTTACTGTTCTCAAAAAACAGAAAAAGAAAAAAAAAAAGAGGCTGACCTCAAATTCATTGATGAACTGGCTGGTCTTAAAATGGCCGATCTGAAGAAGCGAAGGGAGGACAAGGAAGAGTGAACGCTCAGATGGGAGCATCAAGGAAATATTTATTTTCCAAGATATCCTTGGAAAAGGCTCCAGCCAAGCCAAGCCAACTTTGCAGGACTTGTCTAAGGAGACCACGCGCGTGAGCTGAAGGGGACCTTCCCTCTTTCAAGGAATGGTGGGTTGGCCACGTGTCTGTTGCACCACACAGCTTCTCGGAATTCCATAAATAGGGAATCACGCCACGGCTTCGATGCCGGAAGTCCAACGTGAGATGGAGGGGAGAGTATTTTGAGAACGTCCATCAGGACTAGCTGCACCACACGAGATGCGTAAAGGTTGACTTCACACTGACTTTTAGAGTTACTGGCCGTAGGGTTGACCTCGAGTGAAGTCCCAGACATTTGGCAGGTCCATATGGACCTAGAAAAAGCCTATTTTGAGGAGCCTGACTTATTGAGATCTGGGGTGGCTGAGAGAGAGACCTTCACTGTAGGACAACCCGACAACTTGGCCTGACTCAACTGACGCAGCCTTTGTGTTTCATCCTTCAGGGTCAAAAGGACTGCTGAGCTCGCAGAATTCGGTATCTTTTTCAACCTCTCCTGATGCTCAATTATGAGCTTCGCTTCTCCATCTACTAGAGTTTCACCCCAGTGGCACACCCAGAAAAGGTCGAAGCGAAGACAAACACACGGAACCAGATCTCCCAGGGATGACGTGGGGACAGGGTGCTGGGTGGGTAGAAGATTCCGAATGAAATCTTTTTCTAGCCTTTTCTCCATTCTGCACAAGGAGAACTCTGTTTTTTGGGGTGGGGTGGGTTTTCCCCTTTCCTGGTTTCCCTTAAAGCCTCGGAGATGCAGAAGTGGAAAATTACACAAGCCGAAAACTTCGCAATCCAACACACACGTTTATTTGTAATTTACAGTCAACGGGAAAGCAGGAAGAAGAAACACGCACGCAACTAGAAAAGGCAGGAATGTTAAGAGGCGCAGCCATTCAGGCATAACCTTTCTCCAAAACAGCTGAAGAACAAAACAAAACAAAAAAAAACCCCAAGAAATTCAGATATTTTTCCTGTTTTGCGAGCCAGGGCAATGTTTTTAGGGTACCGAGAGGGTAGCTTAAAATGCTGGAAGGAATATAAGGTATATATCAGTGCTTCTCCACCTTGGCAACTTTTAAGATGGGTGGACTTCAATTCCCAGAATTCCCCAGCCAGCGAAGAATTCTGGGAATTGAAGTCCGCCCACCTTAAAGTTGCCGAGGTGGGAAAACACTGATATACTGTACATTTTAAAAGAAAACCTTAGGAAATTTATTGGATCTGGCTTCTGCTTTGCAACCCTGTCCAAACCCTTGAGAGGTCAATGACCTTCTTAAGCTCCTTCTTAGAATCTGGATGGAAAATATATATAAACGCACATGATCACTATCTTAATTTCCTTTCTTTTGTTCTCTTTCCTGGGTCATTTTTTTTTTTTAAAAAAACAACAACACAAAACCCTTGGGGCACCAATTTAATCTGCCATCCTCCGTCAAGGATCTCTCTCTCTCTCTCTTTTTTTTCAGTCTGAGGGCATTTTGAGGTCTCACTGCTCAATAAAAATGTATTTGATTGGCTGAAAGGAGATTAAAAAGGGGAGAGAATGTTTATATTTTGCATTGATGATGATCCTAGTTGGGGTAAATGAAACATCTGCAGAAAAACAACCCAGCTCAGGAAGCACAAAGGACCCCTCATCATATCACAACATCCTCTCAAAAGAACTTTAAAAACCTTCCCTTTTTAAGACCCTGTAAGAATTGCATTTTTGGGGGGTGGGGTGGGGGGGAATAATTGCATTTTTCAGCTCCCAACCAGTTTCCTTCCTTTACTTATGTACACTTTCTTTTTCTTTCTTTCTTTCTTTGGCCTCCCTTCCTCACTCCCTAGTTCCAGGATTAGGAAAAGGGATTTTTTTTTTTAAAAAAAGGGGGGGCATTAAAAGAGTGAAGTGGCACCCAGAAGAGTTAGGGTTGCTTTGAACTTCTCCACCCTCCCGCCTCACTTCCTTAAACATTAAAAGACGTGAAGCCAGGGGGTTATTACATGTCTGTGTTTCACATCCTCTCCCTAATCCTTTTTTTTTTTTTAACATGGGGGAAAAAATGGAATCCAATATCCGCTACTCCCACCGCCCCAAACAGACCAATCTTTGGGGGGGGGGGGAGAGAGCACAAGAAAAAAAAAGAGAGAATTAATTCTTCTTTTAAGAGAATCCCAGATGTTGGGGCTCGCTTAAAGTGGGGACAGTTTGATTGCTTCCCAACTTTCAAGGGGAGAATGATACAGCCCCCCCCACGCTCTCTTTATCCAAAAGGGGGGGGGACACACCTTTATAAGATCTCCCCCCCAAGTCAGAAATTTTCTTGGGTTTGTGGAGCGAGAGGAAGGGATCCTGCATCCTTGCTTGGTTGGAGCGGGTAGGTGGGTGGCTCATAGGTTGGACGGGATGCTAGCACCACGGGGAGGGGGCTGCCTCCTCCTTTTGCAAGGGAAAGACCCCCCCTCTCTCTGGGCCCCCCCATTAGCCTGCATCTCAGCCCCCAACGCCCCCCTTCCCCTTCCGACTTCCATGGAAACATCACCTGGGAGATACACCTCTGGGCCTTCCATTGATCTGGTGGAAAGAGGGGGGGGGGGCGGTCGAAGGCCGGAAGGGGGGGGGGTTGCGCCCTTCAGGGCCAAGATTGCCCCCCCCCCCCCCGGCCCCCCCCCCCCCCCCCCCCCCCCCAACCCCCCCCCCCCCCGATTTCGGGCTTTTTCCCCCCCCCCCCCCCCCTCAAAGCGAAGAGGACTTACAAAGTAAAGAGAGGTTTGGAGGTGAGGATGGGGGAGAAAAGGGGGACAGGGAGGGGGGTTTCCTATCGACTCCCCAGGAAAGCAGCGGGCAGCCTGCACCCCAAAGCTGGGCCCAGCCGGGGGAGAATCGCTGTCTCTCTCTCTCTCTCTCCCTCCCTCTCTCTTTTTAACTTCCGCTCATCACCTTTTTCGTTCAAGGGCCGAAGAAATCCAGGGATTTGGAAAAGGGTTGGGGGGGCTGGTTTGCCTTTTAGAAGGGGAGGGGGCGAAAGAGAGAGAGAGAGAGAGAGAGGGAGGAAAGGCCAGGTCCAAACGGGCTCGGCCTCCGCCAGGACCCCCTCCTCCTTCCCCAGAGAGCCCCCCCCTCCTCCTCCTCCTCCCTGTTCACCGCCTCCCCCCCAATTCAGATCGCCCCCCCCCGAAAAAAAGGCAACAAAAGCCACACAATTCAACGTCATTGCCCCCAAAAGCAGCCACGATCTGCCCAGCCAGCCAGCCAGCCTCCCCCTCCTCCCTTCGCTTTTCTCTTCTCCCATCCCCCCCCC